CGTTACGTAGGTGAAGAGCACGTTTAAAACAAATGGATACAAGTTTATAGAAGATGCCAAAGCACGTCCTTTACGCGACAAAAGTCCTAGAGTCGTTTATACGCATATACACATAAAACTACACCATTGCACCCGCAATGAGCTCTTAAAAAGCTATCGAGTTTTATAAGCTTAGCGCAGCTATCACGCGCGTGCAGCACGAACAACATCATTTGGTGCACGCCCCCCCCCCCCCCCCTCCTCCTCGGGCAGACTAAAGGGTTAAGGAAGGATGTGAGGTGCAGTTGTAGATTTATACTTCATTCTCTAGCCCGATTTGCGTTGTACGGACAATAATTTGCTTACGTATTTATGCATTTATTCACAAGAATGGAGTGCACACAGCATGTGTGCCTACCGCAGCCAGTCTGCACATACGTTCTCGGCACATCGCGATTCCATCAACAAAACATTTCCGTTCATGTAAATCAAAACATAAGCACTCTTCCACGTGCCATTCAAGAGAACAGCTCTCAACATTCCCAAAATGTGCTTATGCAGATGCCCTCCTGTTGGGCATGTTTTTCCCCCGTTTGTTTCAACGAACACATATTGCGAGCCTGTTGTATTTCTGGGGTACACTGTTTTAAGCTGTTGTGCCTCTGGACGGGTAACGACCCTCACCCGCTCAGTTCGAAGCTGCAGCAAACGAAGCACCCGTCATTGCAATGTCATGCACAACGCATGTTGGTCGTAACAGCATTGTTTGTTGAGGTGGCTGCTCAGTGAGCATGTAATAATACTTCTGTACGCATACAGATCGCTTAAAGAGCTCACCCACGCTCAGCCGGCTTAACTTCCTTCGGACGGCAATGTTAGCGACGCTGCTTTAGAGGCTTTGCCATCACTCAAGCTGATTTTTTTTTTCAAACGCAGCACCTGTGCAAAACTCGCTGCGCCTAAAACAGTGTTGCAGTAGAGCAAAGTTGGCAGTGCCGGTGATTGCCTTGTTTTATGGGTGAGGTTTTTTGACATCACATGATGATGGTGTAATAGGTCAACTAAAATCCCTTGCATTTCTGCACAGTTGCATGAAGTTGTGATGTTCAAGACCGGGTTTCACAAAATAACAAACACGTTGTACCTACTTCGGTGCGATCGATCAGCAAAACGGACCTTCCCGTGCAGGACTATATTGTCGACACCTGTGCCTTGTGCACCGACGTTCCCAAGAACTAGTCATTACCTGAGTCTCTGGTAGGGTTTCCTTCATCCCGTCGTTTGTAAACCACTTGAGCATAAAATAAAGGGCTTCCTCCATGACCTTTACGTGTTAATTTAGATTCGGTCAATGTCCTTTTACCAATTCTCCGCACTCTGTGAGCTGTTGGCACCAGCTTTACGATTACGCTCATTTTTTATGTACAATACAACGTGGAATTCATCGACGAACGTCGCAGCGTATCGGGGAAACGTCGCGACTTGGATTTTAATGTATTGTATATCGTGGATGCCGCTAAGAGTAATCGAAGAGTCATGGCCGTAACATGTGGAATCTCAGTGTTTGCAGAAGCAAGTAGTGATAGACACAATGAAACACATTTCATAGGTGAATTGGTCACATCAGCGCTACCAGGCCAACGTTCTTGGCTCAAAGAATATGCTATCTGAAATGATCGGGACCGCCGTCTCAGTCAAATGACCCCTGCGAAGCCCATGCTGGTTCTAGATATCAGGGCATGCGATGAACAATGCGCCGCAAGTGACTCGCACGCCAGCTTTTCTTTAGGCCTCAACACTATAGCAATGGACGAGATTGGCTTGAAGTTCCCTGATATAGCCTGATCTAACAATCAGTCCCACAAGTGGTGTTTTCCAGTTGCTTGGCAGTATCCCAGAAACAAAACTTCTGTTAATGCTATGCAGCAGAGCTGGCATACGAACTAGTAGGCAGGACTTAGCAAAGCAAAGCGTCATGTCCTCGCAATCATGTCACAGATGGTGCCAATCGATACTATGGCGCCCTTAAGCTCATGCTCCGAAACATGCCGTAGGGAAAGGAGCCGACGCACACTCAAGCCATGCGGAGGCCTCGTGTATCCACCAGAGTCGCTGTCAATGCCTGGCCGGCATTGCCTACCAGCCCATTCAGAAATGTTGTTGGCGATGGTCATTTTGCCACCGATGATGCTACGGATGCTACGGATAACGTAGTGCTCGCATCCGATCCTCATCGGCTCTGTGCTTCACCAGATGTCTTCGCGGCGGTGAGATCGCCTGGCTGCACGCTCCCGACGATACAGTTGTCTGTACGTGGGGTCGGCGTGAAGACGCGCACAGTGCTGTGCCGCGAGCTGCTTAACCGCCTCTTGCACAAATCGAGCTGACGGTTTGTGAATCTGAACCATGGCGCGCGCTTGTCAAGTAGTGGTTTGTGAATCTGAACCATGGCGCGCGCTTGTCAAGTAGTGGTTTGTGAATCTGAACCATGGCGCGCGCTTGTCAAGTAGTGGTTTGTGAATCTGAACCATGGCGCGCGCTTGCCAAGTAGCGGTTTGTGAATCTGAACCATGGCGCGCGCTTGTCAAGTAGCGGTTTGTGAATCTGAACCATGGCGCGCGCTTGTCAAGTAGCGGTTTGTGAATCTGAACCATGGCGCGCGCTTGTCAAGTAGCGGTTTGTGAATCTGGACCATGGCGCGCGCTTGTCAAGTAGCGGTTTGTGAATCTGAACCATGGCGCGCGCTCGTCAAGTAGCGGTTTCGCGATAGGCAGGAACGCATCCCACGGTTTAATAAGTGAACAAGGCGCCGGGACGGCGCGCCAGTTGGCCGCGCCCAAACTCTGTGGAAACACATCAGTGTTTCTTCGGCGATAGTCGTGCACGCTACTTTTCTTTCTTTCATTCATTCTTGCTGTTGTTTTGTTGCGTTTTACGACCAAGGTAGGAGTGGCTTGATCATGGCCACTGCAGTGGCTTGGCACGGTACTCGTGTGCTGGGCTTAGTTCAGAGAGTTGGGGACAACTTGGTCCAGCCATGACCCATATCTACTGGGTAGCTGGACCGTTAGTGGAAACACAATCTGGAAACACCATCACACCAAAGCAAGTGCTAATGTTTATGATGGGTATTCTGATGAAACAAATCACCCGTTTAACCCAATTTCGATATGAAGTGGCCAAAATCTGATGGGAACACATAAGGGAGGGGAGATTTTCAGGTTAATTTGGTAGTCAGGTTAATTTTCGTTTACCTCCCGTCCCACAACTTGGAAATTGATCCCGTGTCTCTGCTGATCCCTATCCCGGCCGAAGCCAGACCCCTTGCGGGGGAAACATTCAGTCTGGCGCCTCCCCTTTGGCCGACAGGTGCACTTTGTAAACCTCCCCAAACGCCCGCTCGATAATCGAAGCACTGAATCCATCCCACCCGCCTTACACTCACCACACAAAGATGGCGCCCCACACTGGACCTCAGAGGTGAACGCAGTGAATCCTCTTGTCCCGGGAGTTGTATTTGAGATAGAGATATTCTGTGTACCGGTTTTTGCGGAATAAATGGGGATTCAAAAATCCGTCTCATACGTCATTCTGGGACCAATGGGTTTAGACAGAATGAAACAAACACTAATTTTTCAACAAAAAATAAACAACACCGCTACCAGGTCAATCCGCTTCGCAAAAATGCCACCATTTGATTCGTCGGGAGGTCAAGGGACCAGCGATGTCAACCTGGCACAGGATTTCGTTCCGCGTGAGTCCTTGACCTCAGTTGGCCTTTGCCCCTCGCTGTACTACAACAACGCGGGCATCACACTTTTGATGTTGGGTGATACGGGCACTATCGCTAGTGTCATTCAACTAAACGGAATTTAATTGTCATGTGACTGCGGACAGTGGCCACGGTTGAATATAATCTGGCATTCTTGGCCTTTGAAATGCTACCTGACGTTTCACCAGCCTAATCCCATTAGTTCTATTTGATATCTATGTCACAAAACAATGCCACCAGCCGCCAGCTTTTCAGTGATGTCCATCTTGCATAATCTTGGTCTAAGGGAGGTTTAAGCTTTAACCTTAGTTGACTGCCGGCATTTTATACCATGGTATTTGGGGAATTGCAATTTTGAGGTCATGAGGTGATGGAATTGCCGTCAGTGTCACCCAACTAGCCAGAATATCCTTCGTGCCTCTGAATGGGTATGTGACCGTGGATGGTGGCCACGGTCGAAAATGATCTGATCTTTCATGACCTCCGAAGGTCAAGGAAGTCGATGCCCAATCTAATCCCACCAACCGGACACCAACCGGACAGCGGACACCAATACTGGTCCCAGCCAGACGCCAACCGGACAGTGGACACCACCCTGGTCGCAGCCCGACACCAACCGAACAGCGGACACCAACCCTGATCCCAGCCTGAGACCAACCAGACAGCGGACACCAAACCTGATCTCAGCCTGAGACCAACCAGACAGCGGACACCAAACCTGATCTCAGCCAGACACCAGGACAACGGACACCAACCCGGATCCTAGCTAGTCACCAACCGGACAGCGGGGACCAACCTCGGTCCCAGCCCGACACCAACCGGACAGTGGACACCAACGCTGATCCCAGCCCGACACCAACAGGACAGAGGACACGAGCCCTGGTCCAAGACCGACACCAACGAGACAGTGGACACCAGCCCTGGTCCCAGTCTCACACCAAACGAACAGCGGACACCAACCCTGGTCCGGCCCTAATGGCTTGCTCCTTCCTGTGTTTTTGCGTTTTCCATATGGAGGAAAGGCGCGCAAACCCCGTACGCCAGTTGTCCAGCTCAGAATGCCTGGTCAATTTTAAAAGCTGCGGTGGGGCGCTGCATCGCAGCGCGACCAGACGGCGCAGTCGTCATGCCAACCGGCGAGCGTGGAGCGGCGCCCGCGGCCCACTCCGGGAGGGACTGTCCGCAGTTGCAGACGTGTCAAGCTCGGTAACGTCCGTCGCGGTGAGCCGCGAAGAACGCGTCGGTGGAGATGGACGGAGTGGTGGTGGCGTTCTGTCTGCTCATGGTCACCAGCTCGGGCGTTCCCGTGCTGGCCATTGTCACCAGCCGCTCGCTGCGGGACCGGCCCATGTTCCAGCTGATCGCGCACATGGCCGGCGCCGGCGTGCTGCTGGGCCTGCTGACGCTGCTGCTGGTCGGGCTGCGGCTGCTGAGCGCGCCGCCGCCGCTGCCCTTCTGCCGCCTGCTGATATGCGCCCGCCACATGTCAGGCGCGGCGTTCGTGGCCGCGCTGCTGGTCGTTAGCCTGGAGAGGTACGTGGCCGTGGAGCACGGGCTGCGCTACTTCACGCTGCTGACGCCGCGCCGCGTGCAGCTCCTGCACGCCGGCGTCTGGGTTCTGGCCCTGCTGATGGCGTCACCGCATCTGGCGCACGCCCTCACCGCCCCCGCCCCGGCCCACGCCGTGCCCTGCTCCTACAGCTACCACGTGCCCGGGTACGCCGGCTTGGTGGCGGAGCTGCTCATCAGCATCCTGCTGGTAGCGGCCGTGCTGGTTGTGAACGCGACCGTCGGCCTGCGAGGCGTGCAGCAGGACCGCGAGATCCAGCGGCAGCAGGCGGCTGGCGGTCAGATGGCCACCTCCAGCCGCCATCAGGCGCTCTTCGCCATCAGCAAGCTCGCACTGCTCACCTGCGCCTTGCAGCTGCCCAAGATGATCGTGGACTGTGCCAGCCTAGTGAGTGGCTTGCCGTTCGCGAACGCCCAGCGCATCACCGGCGTGCTGCGCCTGCTGCTGTTCCTCCTGCACGGCTGGCAGCTGGGCTTCTGGTGCCCCGACCTACGGCGGCGCTACGGCCGGCTCTGGGCGTGCTTCACGAGGCGCATCCGGATCGCCGGGCCGATGCCACCAGCGCGGTCCTGTTGGCGCACCGCGGGCGGGGTGCCACCGCCACGGCTGCCTTCGCCGCCTCCGACGCTGTCACCGCCGCCGCCGCCGCTGCCGCTGCAGCCGCTGCTGCCGCTCTCGCCGCTGCCGCTGGCTGTTGTGGTCCATCTTGTGACGACGCCCCCCAGGCCACCGCACCTGGGCGCGCTGCTGCGACCGGGGTCGAGAGAGGCCTGGGGCAGTCGGAACTAACCGAAGACGGAGCCGGAGCCACAGCACCAATTGCAGAACTTAATTTTATAACCGAGTGAGCCAAGGTTATCGGGACACCCTAACACGAATGTAAGCCGCCAGCTTTACGTCTGGCTGACGATTAAGCCCTGCCAGGATATCATTAAAGGAGCGTGACAACCGACTACAGCAAGAGCTCGTTTTTGCGACCACCGACGCGGTATGGTCCGTACCAAGGTTTGGAAAACACATAAGCCACGCTATTTTGTCACACCCTTGCACAGTTCGCAGTTGGCACCAACTTTGGAGTGGGACTCCGAAAAAAGCCTTTGGCCTCTCCAGCCTCCTATGCTGAATCGATCCCTGAGTATCAGAAAACACAGTAACAACAAGTGCTTACAGGACTGCTTCGCTACGCCACGGCGCTAGCCCCTTGAACACCCACACGAGGGCCTGCGGTGTTCTCCGTCTTGTGGCTGCATCATTGCGGGATGCATTCAGCGCCACTCGCAGGACTTGCTGGCGGGTCCAACATATGGCTGAGAGATGTCTGACGGGAACAGGATGTGGTGTGCTGACTACCAGGGACGTATGTGGGTCACGGGGAACTGTATCCCGGGAACTGTATCTGTAAGCCAGCTTTTCGTGTATCATCACCGGGGGAATCGCTCGCAGCCTTGGCGGCAATAGGCCGGCGATCGCTCGCCCCTTTCCGTTTCGCCCTCTTAGCATACATACCTACATCCACCTGCTGGGAGGTGGTTGTTGAAATGCCTGAAGACCTTCATCTTATCTATTTCAAAAAGCTATCACAAGCCCATGCTGTGGTGTTAACTAGAACTTGAGATAAACGTTGCCATTGCGCTTACCAGTTTCGTGCGGTTGTCATTAGGAAGACACGCAGCAGCACGGTGATAATGAGGCGGTTTACCATTACCATAGACCAGGCGTGCTGTCTGGTACAAATGAAGGTTGACTGCGAGATGGGCGCACTGCATCCCGAGAACATTGATGCAAATTTAGAGACACGCAAGTGTAAACGGAAGGGTGTCTGGCTGTCAGACGGTGAGTCGACATCGGCCTGAACGTTCCGGTGTCTTAGACCTCAGGGCAGAGCCCGCCGCCAGTCTGTCTTGCTAAGCATTGAAACCCGTCCACTTGGCCGGCTTTTCAGTCTGGTGGACTTTCGACAGTCATGCCACGTTTCACTGCTAACTGAGCCTGGCAGCCGTTGTCTAAATCCGTGACTCTTCAGCGGACGGAGCCTTTATAATAGCTGAGGTGCCTCTGGACTGGAAGACCCCTTCAAGCACTGCAGCTGCATAGCCTGGAGGGCGAACTACAGAGGGGACACCAACCAAAGAGCGTGTGAGTAAAATAGATCTTCAGGCTTACTCTGCTGGCGCTCCTGCTCCTGCTCCTGCGCGAAAGGGGGAACGTCGGCTCGCTCCTTCAGCACTGTCTCAAGGCGGTGCTGCCATATTTCTTCGCGGCAGGTAAATTATGCTTGCTAACTGAGAAGACATGAGAGATGAAGTACCCTCCCCAGCGTGTCAGTGAGGGGATACTGGTGGGCGCGCACGCCTGGTGACACTGGGACAGCGAGACCGCAGTGTCAGGAGATCAGACTTTGGTTGACTTCGGTCAGCTGCTGCGCCGCATCGCCTGACCAGTTCCTGGGACCGCAGAAGGCATGGCCAAAACTTTGGAGACCTAACTGGCCCACTACACTCCTAGCCCCACCCCACGAACAAGCTTTCGCGTGCCTTCCCCTCCCCCCCCCCCCCCCCCCCCCCCCCCCCCCACCAAAGAAGAAAAGCTGGAAATATTGCCAACTTCGGTTAGAGCGACGAAGCCTCCACCATCATACCGGCCGTCCCAACAGCAGCAGCTACTCCCGAAGTGCTCCTGGATGCAGTGGCCTGCGGTTGCGCAGCTGAAAACAAGACGGGCAGAGTTGTACGCTGCAACTGAAGCGGCCAGAGCGCTGGACTTTGGCGTAAAGACTACTGTGAGCGTTAGCGAGAAATCGCATGCTATAGCCGCTGTACCGGCAAACAGATGGACATCGGAGACAACGAAGGGGAGCTGGGTGTGCATAGTGATGACGACTATGAACAGTAGTAGAGGAATGGGACGTATGCTGGCTGGCAGCACTGTGCTTAAGGTGTTTTTAGATGTCGCGACACTGCACGCCAAAGGTCTTTTCTGGGCTTGATATTTTACCTCTGGTTTGGCGCTGAATTAGACCCCGAAGCACAAGAAAGAAGTAAAAAAAATTACTCGGCACCCATGGTAATCCCCATTCAGACCTTCTACGCAACCATCTGTGTAATCCAGATAAAAGTAAGGAAATTAGTGAGCATTCAAGACAGCGGTGACCGCCATCTAAAATTCTTAGAAATGCTCAAAAATGCAAGCATAGCAACCAAGCTAATTTGGCCTTCCTTGTTATATAAAACTTATATTCGTGAAAAAGCTTGGGGTAGTCATCACTGCAGAGTCAACATGTTGGCAACTTGACCATTGCTTCTGCAATGCTTCTGTGTTTTCACACTTTGCAATGGTTCCAAAACCTACAGCCTATGAAATACTGGGCGTGCTGTTTTACAACAGCAGCCGGTTCCGCTTTAAAATAGCTGCATGTAATGATTCCTTCCAATGTCTGCTCTGAAACTCATTATTCGCTTACTGCGTTTGGTTTCTCTGACATTTCGGAACGCACAGGATTCAAGAAACACCTTCGATTGTTGCTAAGGCTCACATTTTTTCACCCGAACGAATGAATGAATGAATCACGGCTGCCGGACGCCGCTAACACGCCGTGCAAGCGAGATTCGTCGTTTTTCTGAGCATGTTCCCCATGATTGCCCAGTCGCCGCCCAGTCGGCAGCGGCTGGGCAATCATCCGATGACATTTTGAGGACGTGAGAATGTAGAATTACAACCCTTTAGGTAAATTGAAGGTTAGGCGCAATAGCAAACAGAACGATGAATAATTGGGTTGCAAACGCAGGCAATCAGTCGGTGTATGTAGTCATGTAACGTTTGCCGCTGCCTGACGACAGTTTCAACGACAGCGTGTTGTGTTCGGCACCATTTTTTTTTAAAATACCGTTATTCCCGGCTTTCTCAATGTTTCTTGGCGCAACCGTGCGTGTCACATACCCGCGTTTGCCTCGTGAATTGCAGACGGTACGTTAATTGCCGCTTTGGCATTGTATTCACGCTTCTACCCTCTCTGGCTGTCGCAATAGTACGAAACGTGACAACCTGTCAGAACACGGCAAATCCATCTCAGCCACTGCGCTGCAGGTGGCACGTGGTATGTGCGACTCGACCGCACATCTGGCTCCACGCGATTCCCCAGTCCGTCATTTGCCGAGATGTGTCAAATACTTGTCGCTCCTACTCCTGCCCATGGAGCTGCGTCCGCGGTTTCGAACGGCTGCTCGTCGGCTTTGTCGTGGCTCACATTTTCAAGCCCCCCGTATAAAACTACTGGGCCCTAAACAGTCCTTCGGCCACGTGCCACACCCGAACCTTGAACCACAGCGGCTCGCGACATACCTGTGGAAAACCGCCTCGTGCGTCCGTGCGTCGTGTCCAAATTTCAGCGTTCATTAACCCGTCTTTCATCGTGAAGACAACATAAGGACATCAGTTTTAATCATTTTCGAGTTCAAATTACGCTGACAACGCTTTGTAACATCCCTACGGTTTTTCCTTGCAGTCACGACTACCGTCGCCATGACAACCGCCGTGGCACCTCTACTGGTGTGGACAAAAAAACGTTTCAGATTGGCCCAGCAAGCGGCAAGGGCCTGTTACCGAGGAGTCGGTTGGTTGAAATTTGAATTAGTCTTTCACTAAAGACCATGTGATGCTGCTCCCATTCTCAAAGCCAAGGTACGCCTCGAAAGACCCACTGTTAAACGCCATAAGAGGTAAATTAAAGCCAGAGTATAGCGTTTCGTAGATATCATATATATATATATATATATATATATATATATATATATATATATATATATATATATGTATGTGTGTGTGTGTGTGTCATAATTTTTCGCTGGGTAATAGCCTCACAGTCGCTCATCTTTTTGTCTAAGCAGGGTGTTTTACGCTTTTGCTTCACTTGTGAAATAAGCCTTTTGGCAGATTATTGTGTTGTTGACATTACAGAACACACACGCTGGAAGGAGCGACAATGAGATTAAATCAAGTGTATTACTTTCATGGTGGAGAACACGGAGTCCAATGAGATTTCTCCCGCAGAAGCAGCTACTTCAATTCAAAATTCTAAGCAATTCACAAGGATTTCGAGAAAACCGGTATTGCTGATCAAATCATACGCGTCTGATCTACCAAAAAGTAAAAAGCACAAGATGACATTTTCCCTTTCACAAAACGTCCAGGGCTTGCACAGGTCGCGGCCCCAATATAGACCAGGCTGTTACACGGTCGCAACAGCAGCTTATAAACATCGTGGCCATGCAGTTGCGGGTGGTCGTAACACATTTATCCTGCATGGACGGCCGCACCCGTGGTTCACTCAAGTGTTGCACGGATCCAGCACCTCACGATGCGGAACGCTGCATGTGCGCTTCGCAGTGTCTGCATAACGCGTCATTCTGGCCAAGGATCGTCGCGCGGAATAACTGGAAGCGATCCCGGATGTAACGCAGCACTGTGTGTGTGGAAGCCCGCGGTGAAACGCCCCACGGTGCTCCCCCGGTCTCAGAGCTTCGGCTGAGCGGCGGGCAACACCAGTATCTTGTATAGTGAGTCGCCTGGCCGCCGCCACTTGCTGGTCATCGACAGCCTGCCGCGGTGACCTCTCTGTATCGTCTCCAGCGGCCCTGGCCGCCGCTATTCGTTCGGCATTGGCAGAGTGACCTCGACCTCGCTTTTTCCCAGTACCCTGGTGCCATGGAAGCCTACGCCGCTCGGGCCCGGTGGTCGGTTGTTGTGTGTTAACTGTGGGCGAACTTGCACCATCATCTAATCGCCGTTGCGTATTTTGTGCACTTGCTTCCCTCCTTTGACGTGTCAAGGTCTTTGCCGACTGCGGCATCGTAAAACCTTGCTGCAGTGTTGTATGTGCGCATATAGAATCAGCTCAGAAATGCGATAACAAATAGGGTGCGGAGCGTCAAGGCTCGTATTCGGTGGCGCGGCTCTTTCAACTGCTTCATGTCCATGAGCGAGCTTGTCCATCACGCCCTCGTAGTCCGTGTAAGGTGTCATGTTTGCTGTTCTGTCCCAGCTGCTGTCGCCGAATAAAGCCTCGCTGAACGCTGCCCTCAGTGGACTTTTTTATATCACATAACAATGTTTCGGCGCAATCAATTCAAACAGCAATAGTTCGTGCTGAAAAACTCCAAATGAACGGTGAAAGGCTGCTGCTTCAGTCTTTCTCACAGTCACACCTACAATACCCACGATCAAGACTATAGAAACAACAGCTGCAACATCCTGGGCTGCATATTTTTACGCTGCACCGCATGAAATGAAATCAAACCTAAAATGTTTGCATGTGCTTCTTGACCGTGCGAATTATTATCATTCGGTAAATCGGCGGAATGTACATTTGATGAGTCTGAGCTATTTGTGTACATCCTGTCGGGTCAGCCTCTTCCAAATCAGACAAGAGAGGGCCCACAGTCCACCATACTCAGATAGTGTCTACGCTGCACATGTGTCACATCTGCGCCCACCCTGCGCCAAACTTCCTCAGCGCCCAGCTTGAATCCGCGCTACGTTGTAGGCGCAGGATCGATAGACTGACACGCGTCGCAACGTTGTACCACCTTTTGTATCAGCCTCCCAGACATCGTCAGGGACATTCTTTCAGGGACATTCATTCCGAGAGTGCGTCGCGTGTCTGGATGTCCACCTTTTTCACGAATGCGCGCTATTTCTGAAGACGCTATGTTGTCTTTGACAGCCGCACATCCCGAAGCTCCACCTTCTCTCTTCTTCAGCCACCTGTTTGGCACTCGTATGAGACTATCGGCCTTGTGTTCTGCTGACGGCACAGAGGTGACATCTAACTTGAGATCATATTCCTCAGCGATAGAAGTAATGACCTGAAGACGACGCCGGATCCGAATTGCATTGGCTGCCTTCGTACTGGGCCGCGCCTTCCCCGACAGCGCATCGGATAGCCAGTGGAACACCGCACGTGACTCCGTTATCAGGCAAATCACTGTCATGTCCCACGCCACAGCTAGGCTCACACCCTTCAGGACTGCCCACAGCTCAGCCAAGTTGATGGGACCGCAGTCTTCACGTCGCAGTCAGCTGGCGTCCTCGATGACGTCATTTTCAACTTCCAAAACCGCACCGAGAGCCAATTTCTTCAGGATATCAGGTGCTGCATTCAGTCCAAAACAAGCGGGCTTACCACCGACAGCTATTCATCCGTCCCGTCCACAATGCTCTGTGAACATGAAGTTGTTGACACTTTGTGCTGGTCACGGAGCGCGCCCCTTTTGTCTCTCCGTCGCCAATCACGTAGCTTATCTGCACACATACCGGTATCCGCAGGGTGGGCTGCTACGTGCGAGTTCAGCTCTCGAAAGTCCGTCACAAGCCGCACCTTGTCCTTGTTGGGCTGCATGATCGCCATCAGCGGAACGGTTCCTCGCACCGCCCCGTGCTCCTTCCCGTTGAGGGCGTTAGCAAGCCATTGGCCACCCCCTTCTCCACTTCTTCTCCGTACTCGTCTCGAGCAGCCGGTGCAATTTGGTACTATGCGACCGTGTTCGCCAATTCCTTCGGCCCTTTTCTCATCATGTCACTTCCAGGTTACGGCCCATTTGTGATCTTCCTCTTCATACCCAACAGCGAAATCCGACTCGTCGCTCTTCACCGCTGGCACGACAGCACTCACCTCTTCGGCACCAAACCGAGTCTGGATCGCCGACATCACTGCCACGATGCCGAGAGGCTCAGTGCCATCCTCTTGCAGAATCAAATCAAGGCGAATGGTTTTTCCCAAACGACGAACACGCTCAGAATAGGCTTTGTGCCATTTTGTAACCGAACGCAGACTTGCCCCACTCCGTCGTACTTGGTTCGCTCGCCACTCACAGTGTAGACGCTCTCACGCTGCCCTCTCCAGTCGCGGCAGGCTTGGCGTGTACGATGCTTCGGGAGCATCCAGCGTCGATTAGCACCATACGTTCGTAGCCGTTGACTGACAAGCGCCAGAGCGGTGGGGATCTACTAACACGCGGCCAGAAGTGAGGCTGGCGCAGATGGTTTCTCGTCCTCTTTGTTTCCCGCACGTCTGGCAGCGAGGAGGGTAGGGCGCCTGCAGCTGTAACGGGTGCCTCGGCTCCTCCCTGCCGAACACTGTCCGGCGAGGAAGCCAGGGCGCCTGCAGTTGAAACAAATGATCTGTTCTTTCCGCCTTGAACCACCGTCCGAATCGCGTTGTTCACGGTATCTTTGCGCCACCGCAGCCACCGCCCAACCGACCATCGTCAGGGCACGGACTCACGCAAGAATTTGAGGCAGCTCCAGTGAATCCCCTCAGAAACCCGACCTCAGCGTGTGCCGCATCTCCCCAGGTAAACGTGCTACAAAGGCACACGCAAGAACCGACTCGCTCATTCTTCCAGCCAGCCATGGCAGGCGACGCACATCGGCCTAAACCACACCCGCTGACTCATTCGGCCTGAGCCTGCGAGCTAATAGCTGCTCGTACACCACAAACTTATCTGCTGCAAAGGCCGCTATCGGAGCTTCTCGCATCCTGTTCACATCCTTCTCGCAGTATTCATCCACCTGCTGATATACGCTAAAAGCGACTCCCGTCAGCGCCTCCCGTCAGGCACAATGGAATTACGCTCGCATGGTTTTCGATTCCCTTTAGACGACAAACAAGCTCCAACTTGACTTCCACTCAGCGACGTCCTGGAAAGCTCCATGAAATCCGAGCACTAAGCGCAAATCCATATGGCCACCCGCAGCACCGCCCCACGTTGCCATTGCAAGAGACGAAATAGCTTGTTCTCGACTCTCAAACCCATTGAGCAAATGGATCTCAGACTAAAAAAGAGACAAAACAATAAACACATACTCCGCGCTCGTCCTAACTCGCCGCTCCGCGCCCACCCTTTCCGTGTGTCATTGGGGCTTTACGACGCACTCAGCTGCTGAGGCTATGTGGCGTCGCCTGCCTCTCACCGTGGCAGAAGGGGCGGGTACCGCGGGGAATCGAACCCCGTACCTCTGGTTTCCCAGATGCGCAGTGGTTAACGCAGACGCGTTAACGCGTTAACCACTACACTACCGGCACCCCCTACCCTTCCCGTCCTGACCAGTCAGCGCACTACATGACAATTCAATAAAATGATCATGATGATGTAGCTGCAGTGTCCTGAAATTGTTTTTTACTTAGGTGAAGGACTGATGCTTTTATTTGCGAGGCGGTGAAAAATACAATTTTCGACATTTTTAAACCCACAAAAGTGGGTGGCAGCAGGCAATATTTTACTGACCTCTAATTGCTCTCTACTTTTTCCTCTTTTTCAGGCCCCGGTCACTGTCCTGCTGGTCTGATATCCTGCCCCAGCAGAGGTTATTTCCTAATTCCAGACTTTCACACTATCTGCTGTCCACTGCACACCATGTGGTCATAGTGTGATAGTTTCTCATGATCGTTAACAATCGTTTGCTTTATTTTAATTGATAAACAATAATGGCAAATGCCAAGTGACTTTGACAAGCTTCTCTCAGCTTAGCTGTAAAGAGTACACCACGCACTGACGAAAGCACGGTGCCACGATCTCAACTCAGCAGACGTTGAAGACGTCAATGTGTCACAGCGGGGTATGGAATTCTAGGGGAATGAGTCTTTCAACATGTTGCCTTATTCAAGATACCTAGAACGAGCAAGGTGCATTCAATAGACGCTTCCCTTTCCCCCTCCCAACAAATCCCGAGCTAATGACCCACGTTGACTTTCGCGTATCGTCCTTGTCAAAAAACTTCCACAACGGATGTACCGCAATGCGGCACGTCATTTTGCCAAATATTCCGTATTGAGACCACAGCCGCCGAACTACTGGTTCCCAGCAAACTTAGCCAAAACAAGGATACCAAATAAGTTGGAAGCGTGCCGTAACCTCCCGTGCAATTACACTTTTACATAAACTGTTCGGTGCATTAGCGAGGAGCATTACTCGCATAGATAAGGCGGTAGAAATAACCTTCTTTCTAAAAAAAAAAAACAGGAGAAAGGAGATATAGATGGGTTAACCCAACTATATCTCCATTGTCCTGATTTTTCCCCGAGAAAAAGGCTACTACTACTGTTTTACCAAGAACACTTTAAATTATTTTTGGGAAGTCCATCTCGTCAACGATTAAGCAGGGGTGTAGAAGCTGTACGTGAGACAGCAGTGTCAGACGGTTTTTGTTGGAGGCCAGAGGTCTATATCAAGATCTAAGATACATCAGATATCAAGATCAGGTCTGGTTCAGCGCGTTGGTGGGACAGCGCCACTGTCTTCGGGTATCTCCGTCACTGCTTGGCGGACAGCGATATACTTTGGGCAGAACTGAAAACGAGATAATAGCTCTCGCCCTCATTCACCGTTTTGAATAACACATACTGATTGGCAAATTTGAGGGCAATGCAGCTCACTGCCGTCCCCAGACTAAAAAAGCTGGAGGCTTGCATAAAAATTACAATCTATTGCTCTGAAACAGATCTCGCGATTGGTGATAAGTTGCGTATCG